TATGATCGTGTAGTACTGTGCCTACAGTGTGATAAGCAGACAAGCGTTAGCGGCATCAAAAGATACCACTGATGTTCTATTTCAGCACATGTTCTGGAAAAATACCAGTTTATTTTTTCTTCTTTGAAAATGGTTCATGACAACTTGCATTCACTTATATTGCTAGAGATGATTTCAACTGAAAACTGCTTCTTATGAGCTGCTGTTTAAGAGGTAGGTTTTGTGCATTGCTTTGATTCTCGGGGACTCTTCCATCTAGAACAATGTAGTCCTGATCATGAGCTGTCTCCATTTCACTAATTTTCTGTGCTACATTTTAAGTAGACTTGCATATTAAGACACTGGTTTTCCTGATAAAAGGCTTTTCACTGCCTTTTTATATTTTTTGTGTTTTTGCAAATGTTTATGGTTGCAGTGTTTTTGGCCACTACTGCTTAAAGTAGGAATCTTGTGCAAATGCTGTTCTAGACTGATGATCTTATGCAAAGCCCATTGAGCAGGACTTCAGCTTTCTTCCCCACAGTGTGTTTCCATGACCTTCTCTTTGTCCGCTGCCTGTTGCCAGGCAGGATTCAGGCAGCTGCTTGCTGATTGGCTGATATTGAGCATATCCTGTGCTGCTCCTATGAGCACTCGATTATAGGCTGGTCCATTGCAGCTAAGCTAATTCCTTTTTTGTTGTAGAGCTGCAATCTCTTTGCAGACTAATAATAATAAGATATATATCGGAGGAAGTGGGGGGAAGGCTTTCTGGTTGGCTGAAAGAGAAGCCCTTTGTATGTTAACTACACTGGCACATTTTGATTTTACTGTGTATTGCATATTTGGTAATGGGAAATATTTGCAGATTTGTTATTTGAAGGAGGTGCCTGATGATGTGTTTTCTTGTAATCCTGAAGTACATATGACTTTCAAGATTAAAGTGAAGAATTCTTACAGAACAAATATTTGTGGTATTTTGTGTTTCAAAATTGATCATTTTTTTGGTGAACTTTATTCAAAAACAAAAACAAACATGCAAATTCTACCAATCTATTTACAGAATTTAACCCTGACACGCTTAGCTCTACATGCAGGACTCATTGTGTACTGTACTAAACAAATGCCTTTTCTTGAAATAAAAGGTACCTTGTCATTGGTTTGTGTCCCTCATGACCAAGTCACAAATGTGATGAGTAAAAACTGAAATTACCCAAATATTATATAAGAGAAACGTATAGGAAATATAGCTAAATTTTAAATTGTTGAGTTTAAAATTAAATGCATTCATTTTTTAAGCGGTGAGAGTTTGAAGTATATTTGTGCAAGTCTGAATTCATGCAACCTCCTCTGAAAGGCAACCACTTTACCACTTCGAATGGAAGGCAAGTATTTATAAGGTGATTGCTTATTGGCTTGCACGTATACAACCAAACCTGTCTGAACTGGTTACTGATTTATTTGTATCTTATTTTATTCAGCTCTCACATGAGATCTGTTATTTGGCTGCAGTGTGCTCCCTTGTGGGTACGGCTGGAAGCATTTTAAGTCTGGTCTGCAGTGATACGTGATACTTAACCAGCATTCAGTTTTTATCTTTTAATCTCACCTATGTTTATATTCTGTAGCTTTTTTGGGGCATTCTTTGGTTGCAAAAGATTGTGAGATTGAGCTGAAAATATACATGAGTTACTCAAATAACTGTCTGACAATTGAATTTTGTAATTCCGTTTTTTTTTTTTTCTACAGTGAATTTGTAAATTGTATTACAGCTTTGTCTTTTTTTAAATTTAGCTGTAAATAAAACACCTTTTTTTTTTTAAATGTATTAGAAATTTAAGCTTATTTCCTTGGTATTTTTATTCTAACAGAAAAGATGCATCGATGTAAAAAGGTATTGTGATGTTTGAATTTAAACTGTTACTTTTGGCAAATTTGAAAAGGAAATGTAATTCATTATACTTTATTTTATGTTATATATATGAATGAAAGATAGTTTAGATAATTAAGGAAACTATAGAGAATAGAAATACTATTTTGCTTTAAGTTATATTTTATGATTATACGAATGATGTATTTATGAACTTGATTTTAAGTTTTAAGTGAGAATTTTTATTAATCTGTTAAAATACCTTTTGATCACAGTAAGATTGTAAATTCTGTGATGTGTGAAGTTTCAAAGACATAAGATCCGTGTAGTGCTCATAAAATAAAGTATTGTATTTAAGGAAATCATGTACTTTTCTCTCTTAATTTTGAGTGTGAGGCCCTATATCTTTGTAATAGATTAGCAGAAGGCTTACTAGTCAGTTATCATGAGTCCGAAGAAATGTTCGAGGTTAGCCAAGCCTGGGCATTCTTCCCCCCCTGACTTAGCTCTATGTATCTGTAACAGCATGCATCTTAGAACCGTGAGTATGATGATCAGTGCTGTATTATGTGGCAGCCTGATGCATGCTTTTAAAGTGACGTGAAAAAAAAAACAAATTTCCTTGTCATGTTCTCAAGAAGGAAGGACATATACTTTCAAAAATTTCATGCTTCTGAAATACATGCTTCTGAAGCATGCATGCATCTGGAATAGGCTTTTCTGCGCTTGTCCTCACTTTGAAACTGTGCTAAATTACTACTTGTATTCTCTTCTTGAGGAATATGAAGATATTGTATTAGTGTGTAGGCAGCCTTGAAAAGCTCCTAACAACTTACCTTGAGGGTTTTTTTGGTGTGGTAGGAAGTGGTTATGGGATGAGAGCGTTTTCTAAGAATGAGTAAATGGAGTTTTCAAATCAGTGTTGCATTTTGCTCCCACTAGTGGCAATAAAAGTAATAGGCAGTCATGTTCAGGAACTTTTTCAGACATGCAGAAATGCATATTTTCAAGGTATAGTTGTGAGTCTATAAGCAGCTGATAAATTCTTTGAAGGCCTGTTTGATCTGTTGAGAAGGTGTGAATGGATCTGTTATTTAAGCACTATCAGTTATACAAATACAAGAATTCTGGATTGTCAAGAAAAAAAAATTGAAATAATATGATAGCAGATCTCAATGCTTACAAGAAATGGAAAACAAAGAGGAAAAAATGCAACTTATATCTCTTATCATTTTGCCTGTGCTTTTTGACAAGTTATGGTAACTGAGGGTGATAGAAGCCCTTGCTCGTATAGTACAATACGTTGTGGTTGTAAAGTCTAGAATTTTATCTTGACAGTTGAACTTTTACCTTAGACTGTATATTCATCTTACATCTTAAAATATCCTAATATAACAACATAGAAATACTAAATAATTTCCTTCATTAAAAAAAACAAAACAACAACAAAAAAAAAACAACAACAACAAAAAAAAACGCTGCTTGGGGTAAATAGGGAAGTATCTGATGGAGGAGTACTGAAAAGATAGAAATAGAAGCCCAAACTACCTATGAGAACACACAGAGGTTGACAACTCTAATCTACTGAAGAGAAGGCTGAAGGCCAGTCATACAGCTATCGAATAGTTGTAGACAAGCCTGCTTATAAAGAGAGCGGATCCAAACTGTTCCTGTAGTGCTGTAGAATGGTACCATGGTGCAGTGGCTAAGAGTTATATACAGCATGGGAGGTTCAGGCTGGAAAAAAATTCCCAAGAGGGATTAGTGCAACACTTGAACAGGTTACTTTTCAGCCATTACTCCTTGTGCTATCACTACTCACCACTGAGAAGAGCCTGATCTCATCCATTTGCCTCTCGCCTCCCTTTAGATGTTTATAAACATTAATCATTAACCAATCTTCCCCAGGCTAAGCAGACCCAGTCACTCAGTCTTTTCTCATATGGGAGATGCTTCGGGCCCTTTATCATCTTCGTGCCCCTCCACTGGACTCCTTCTAGGAGATGCCTGTCTTTTTAGAACCGGGGCACCCGGAAGTGGACACAGTAGTCTAAATGTGACCTCACCAGGGCAAAGTGCAAGAGGAGGATCACCTCTCTCAACCTTCTGGCTGCACTCTTGTTAATGTACTCCCAGGATACCATTGGCCTTCTTGGATGCAAGAGCACAGTACTGTCTTATGGCCAACAAGATTAATCAATTAATGCTAAAGCAATATATAATCTGTTAGGACTATCAAGCTACGGCAGGGGAGATTCAGGCTGGACATTAGGAAGTATTACTTTTCAGAAAGGGTGGTCAGACACTGGAATGGACTGCCCAGGGAGGTGGTGGAGTCACCGACCCTGGGGGTGTTCAAGGAAAGGCTGGATGTTGTGTTGAGGGACATGCTTTAGTGGGAGCTATTGGGAATAGGTGAACGGTTGGACTGGATGATCTTTTAGGTCTTTTCCAACCTTGGTGATTCTATGATTCTATGATCTCTGCTGATGCAGCTTAATCTGACCCAAACGCATAAGCACTTGATTCTCAGAGGTGAAATGGTTGACTAGATGATCTTGAGAGGTCCTTTATAAAAAAAAATATTTTATTTCATTACAAATTCTTTCAATATATTGAAATTTTCTTAGTTATCTGATATAATTATTTTTGTCATTTATTCCAGTTAGATTGATTTTGTTTCCAAGTTTGTCTAAAAATTCTGACATTACGTAGATTTAGAAAGGTAAAATAATTATCAACTGATAGCAAGACAGTATATGTTTTGAAAGAAGAGTGTGCTTGCTTTTACATTGGCTCAGTACCCGTTCTAGCTAGAAACGTAATCGTATCCCTGCTGTAATGATACTGAGTTGATTAGTCTGTGTTACTACATGTCATTAAAGCAGTTGTGTCATCTCAGTGAGTTTTACATGCTTGTATTTGTTTAACATACGTAGAAATCTGCACTTGCTTTTCATGAGGAGAAACAAAATTTAATCATTTTGTCAGTTGTTTTGGATTTTGTAGATAGTTATACCAGTTTGCTTTAAAATGCGCAAAAAGCAAATTTCAGCTATAGTCTTTTCTTTAAAACTCCTGCAATAATAATAATAATAATAATGAAATAATAATGGCCTTCACAAGTCTTATGGAACTTTTTTTTTTTAAGGGTCAAGATGGATAGCACAGATGAACCTCAGAAAAAAGTCTTCAAAGCACGAAAAACGATGAGAGCAAGTGATCGACAACAACTTGAGGCTGTCTATAAGGCTAAGGAAGACCTGTTGAAGACAGTTGAAGTTAAACTGTTAAATGGAAAGTACGAGAACGGTGATTCTGATTTAAATTCTCCTTTAAGCAATACAGACTGTACGGAGGACAAGAGGGAAGTTAATGGCCTAGTGGATTCTAATGAAATTAGTGAAATCAAAAGACCTGAAAGTAGGGCAGAAATTATAGTCAGTGACCTAGAACCTAAACCTCTTTCTCCAGAGAATATTACTCGTGAACAAGATATTGATATTGCATTAGTTTGTGAGGCTGAAAACAAAGTGCTTGGTAGCAATAAAGTTAACTTCCATGAAGAAAATAACATAAAAGATCATTTGGACCAAAGAGAGAGTGACACTTCATCAGAAGGTGACAATAAATCAAACTGTGATAATAGCTCCTCATCTGAAGAGAAAGGGAAAACAAATGACTTAACTATTATTTCTAGTTCGCCTGTTGAAGACAGGAAGAAGGCTGGAGAAGTAATTGTTGAAGATTCTGTTGGGGAAGAGGCTATCTCTAGCAGTATGGAAACTGATCAGGAACCAAAAAATCAAGGAGATGGCACTGCAGGTCTTTCAGAAACCGTAGCTGAGAAGGCAGTAGATGAGTCAAGTGAAAGTATCCTGGAGAATACTGACTCTATGGAAGCAGATGAAATTATTCCAATTTTGGAAAAACTAGCTCCTGCTGAAGAGGAGATGAGCTGTTTTTCTAAAAGTTCTTTGCTTCCAGTGGATGACACAGCCCCAGATTTAGAAGAGAAGATGGACAACTGTTTGGGTTCACCACTGAAGCAGGAAAGCAATGAAAGTCTGCCAAAAGAGGCTTTCTTAGTGCTGTCTGATGAAGAGGATCCTTGCGATGAGAGGGAGCATGCTGAAGGGGTGCTACCAAACAAGTCAGGTCTTCCAGGTAGGAGTTTTTTTAAATTGGTAGCTTTGATTCATCTGGAATTTTGTTCATTTCTTAAAATGACATATGTTTGATGTGTTTCTAAGTCAGTGTTTAAGAATTTCACATTTTTGGGTATATACCGGGAGAAGTAATGAATTTTAGGAGCATGTGGAAATCGTATCAGTGTCTTTGTAATTGAAGGTGATGAACCATACTTAGTGAAGTAATGAGCTTTTAAATTTTTACCAGTATTCTTCAGCATTGCTGGTGTGAGCATTTGTTCTCGCATTAGTATTATGAGCAGCAAATGAAGAACTTGAAAGGCATTAAAATGATACTTTATCATATAGAAACTCTTAAAAGCAAGAGAGAAGGTCTAACCAACACCTAACCAAAGACCAGTATCAATTTTTGCCACGTTTATGGTATTTTTCTTCCCTGTTGCTGTTTCTAAAAAGAAAGAAGAAGAAGTGTTAAGTTGGGTTATTGTCACACACAAGCATTCGATAAATCAAACAGTATTCCAGTTCATACCTTTTTCTCTCTCTTGTTTTTTGCATAACTATTTTTGTTAAAGGACTCTATTTTGGCAGTATGTATTCCTGTAGTGATTTTATGTCAGGCATATTCTAAATGTAGAAAACTTTCAAACTCTGCATCCAGACTTTAAATATATCAATCACATATACCATATCTACAGCTAAAAGCAGCATTTTTATACCATAATATCATTCTTATTCTTTCTGGAACTCGCATTCTCAAGTAATTGCAGGAAAAAGTAGAACCTATACACCAGGTTTTTGTTGTTTGCATGCTCATAAGCATGTTCATGCCATATAGAGGCCTAACAAAAGACAGTCTTACCCACTGCTTTTATGTAGTCTTGCAATTTGAGGGATGGAATTTGTGGCTGAGAAAGACTGAAATTAGCAGCAAAAATTATCAGTCCCCCCATCACTCTTCATAAATGGGTGGGAGGGGTGGAAGAATATAAAAGGGAGTAATTGGCAGGTGTGGTACAGGACTTATTGGAAAAGAAATGTACTAACTTATTGTTCCCAAGGAGAAGAAGGTATTTCAACTTTCTTTAACATGCTCATAAATTTTAAGGATGAAAACATGCTAGTAATACAGACATAGCATAACCACCATTTGTTTCAAATTTCTTTCACAAAATAATGATACTACTAGAGAGGTTTCAGAAAAAAACAAATCACGTAGATTATTTTCATGCCATTTAACTCATAGTGGTTTTATCTAACTTCTGTCTGGTGACTGTGGCAACTGGTTGACATTCAAAAGCATTAAGTATATGAAACTGGTACTTCAGTCTTTCCATGCAGTTAGCAGAACCAGCAGATAAATTCTTGATGTTAAACTGATGTTTCTGCTCTCTTGTTGCTGTCACACTGTTTTGTGTGTGTAAGTATTTTGGGGGCATGGGGCACTCTGTTTTACTGTCTCACTTCTGACAAAATAAAACCAATAAATAATTTATGGATATATTGTTGTTGCCCTCTATCGGTAGTTAAAGAAAGCTATGGCTTCAAGCTGCACCACTGTTAGCATTTTATGAATCAATTACTGCACTAAGTCAAATCTATTCGTTCATGCTTGACTGAGTAGGATTTCAAGAGATTTATCAAGATCAAGCTGTCTTTGTTTATGGGAATTTAACACCCAGTTTCTTACCTCTGTTTTGCTGACGATGAGACTGTCTTTCACTAATTTGTTATAGCGGTTTGGGTCTTGAATAAATAACTGGAGGCAGGGAGATGAGAATGTCTTTCTATCCATGTTTCAGACTTTTCTTCTTTTCTGGTGCTAACCTTTAGGTTTATGCCATTTAAAACAAGAATTAATGGGTTGCATAGTCTTCTTAGAGAATTTTATTTGGGTATTAAAATCCACGTTTCTCTGGAGTTGCAAAAGTGATACCAGTGTTTAAGTAAGATCTTCAGAAGATGTCTGTGGGTGGGATATAGTGAATAGAAAAAAATACTGTATGTACTTGTGTAGAAGTTGTAGTGCGTTATGAATCCCTTCTCTAAAATGTTACAAATAAATCAGTGATTGTTGGTCTTATCACAGTTTAAGGCTTCTCTCATTGGATATGAATGAAGTTAGGATAACAAGGTGGCTTTTTTTTTCTTCTCATCTTAATCAAAAAGAAGCACACTGGTCACAGAGAAATCTCAACTATGAAGCAAAAGGCTATAAGTGAATACTGAATATTGGACTACTATTTGCAGAAGTCTGCAAAATGATACAAATGATTGTATCCAGCAATATTTTTTCTGTTCTGGACAAGAATAATTTCTTGACTAGTAATTTTTTTTTTTTTTTTTTTTTCTGTCAACTGTAACAGTTGGAGACTTTTATAGTTGCATGAATGTAATTGCAACTGTTTCTAAAAGGAATACTGGCCAGTGAAATGTATTTTGTCGTTAGTGGAAACATGTTAATTTCTGCATGCTAGCTTCTTAAATTTTCCCATTAAGTTGCCAAGGAGGGAGCTCAAATTTTTCCAAATAATAGATTCTACATGAAATATATTGAGGAAATCTTCTGGGGTCCCATTTTGTGCTAAATGTAACAGGATTTTAACACAGAAATTCAGCAGTCCTTTTACAAATTTGTATTTCAGTAACAAATATCAGAGAGGCTGTCAGGACCAGAAACAGTACTGTATGGGAAACCAGGTGGATAAATGCCTTGTAATATAGTTAACAACTTTCAGAAGGGGTCTGTTAAAATTATATCTGTGGAGATGGCATAGAAATTATTTAAGAATACCGTCTTGGAAGTATGCGGAAGCTGTTCAGTTAAACAGTGAAGCTTTGACAGGATGCAGAGGAAAACTAGTGTGACTAAGCAGTAATGTAAAGAATGGTTTTCCTTAAATGGAAAGGTAAGTAGCCTTTGTTTTTCAAGTAGAATTAGTATATATAGTAGTTGAGTGATGCTTAAGATTTCTATAATGGGAGGTCATACCTTCAAAAACCTTGGCAATGAAGATGTGATTGAAGTATATAAACTATTTCTGATACCCAAACACAGTGATTTCTTGCCAAGAATGTACAGAAACTGAATGGTTTGGGGACAGGATGGAAAGTACTCATGGAGGAAATAATCTGTCGAAGGACGGAAAGTAAATCCACTGAGATCTGTTCTCAAGACTGCCTTGAGCAACAGATTGAAAATGAAAGGTCACTACTGAGGTGACAGTTTGCTGATGATATTATGAAAAGATGCAGAAGAATTCTGCAATAATTTGAATATAAAAATGCAAGAATCTCACTGAGGTTAACTACCAAGTGATATGTGAGTACAAAAGCGTTCATAACTTGACAGAAAGAGCTAGCCACTCAAGAATGATTGTCCAGGATTATATTAGGTAGTTTTATGAAGTCATTGATTTAGTAGAAGTAAATGAAAGTAAATGAAGAATGCTGAGAATAAATGAAATAGAGGAAAACACCAAGCTTTAAGATTTTTTTGACTGGGCAGTGTTTTCTTACTCCACTACAATTCTTTTACATTGGAGCTTTATTAGAAGGTCCTTGCTGACCCATGCTAATGTTCTTCCACATCGATTCTATGTTCAGTATGATAAAATGGACTATTTGCATGGTTTGAGTTGGCTGCTCTTGAAGAACAACTAGCTCTCTGGAGCCCCTTTTCTCTCCAGGGCAGTCTCCCACTGGATACAACGAAGTACAGTCTGAACAAGGTAGGAACTGCTCTCCTAAAGGCATAGGTTAGACTGTTATTTCTTGTGACTTCTTGCAAGATAATAAATTCCACAATCACATGGTTCTTGCAGCTGAATTTACTATTGACTTTGCTGCCCTCGACCAGTTCTTCCTTGTTTGTGAATAACAAACCTACCAGAGCATCTCCCCTACTTATCTCAGTAATTGCCTATGTCAGTAGGTTGCCTTCAGTGCACTCTAGAAACCACCTGGATTGTGCTCAGACTTACAGCCCTTCCAGTTAAAAGTACATCTGTGAGTCCCCAGGCCCGGTATTATGTGAGATAGCACCATTGACTTGTTCTTGTTGAACAAGTAGTTCTCCCTGAAGTAGTTTGTGATGAGAGGCTACCACAATCCTGCATGCATTACTTTGCCATTTGTGGTCCTGAAATGCCCAGCTGTCCTATTGCCTGGCCCCACAGTAAAATTCTGAGCATTTCCTGCATAAAGCATTACCACTGCTAAGCCTTTACAGCCTGTCCTTTATGAAGAACTTGTGTTCATCTGTTCTAACACTGTAGTCAGTTGTTATCCCACTCTGTCTCCAATTCAATGAAATCGTGATTCTGCGGCTATGTAGAGGACTGGTAATTCCTTGGCTTCTCTATAACAGTACTTGTTTGTGTCCTCCAGGGCCAGTTTGAAAGAGAGCTTACTCATTTTTTATCGTTGCTAATAGTCTTAAGCAGGGCACCCAAGTACAACTTGTTACAAATAGAGAATGCAGTTAACATTTAGAAGAGTACAGCTTGTCTTCTAGAAAGTAGTATTTGATGAGAATTTCACAGCATGTGAGTGGCAGATAAACAACTAAAAATGATCCTCTTGTTCCTGTATTGTGATATGTATAGCTCTCAAAATTCTTGAATGTACAAACAGGAAAGTAAGTTATGCTCAGATGGCAGTTATGGAACCACTTTTTTCTTTATTTCTCGGTATTTCCAGTTCTGGTGTCTAGTCCTAAAAGGGATAACAGGAAGCTTTCAGACAGCTGGTGCAATGGAAGTTCAGTATTTGGGAAATGTAATACTGGAAGGCTTAAGAAACATGAGTTTCGTTCATCCAATAGAAGATAAAGGAAGTCTGTAGTATCTGCAGCTGAATATATGGTGCAGAGAGGTTTCTTAAATTTGGTAGACAAAGGTACAAATGCTGCATCTTTGATCCATGGGATTTTAAAAGCCAGAAATGAGACACACTGCTGTCTGACAGACTTTGGAGGGACTGGATCAGGATGTTGGTTTTATCAGTTATAATTTT